ATTTCAAATAGATGCTGCTTGCCTTATAAAGGGGTTACTGTAATTAACCGACATATCCCAGGGTCCAATAATCACAAGTCAAATTGTGGGTCTGAACTAATTTCTACTTGTCATGAAATATTCTATTGATTTCTTTCAATTATTTAAACATCTAATCATTCTTAGCTCATATGAGTTGCTAAAACAGGTACTTGTTCTAGAAAAGGGAAAGGCACTGGCCAAATTTAGCTCCAGGCAGTGAATTTGGGATACTTAAGCAATTACATGGGCTGTTTAAACTCTCATAGCATGATACAAGCATAGCGCTATTATCCCATTTCATAGTTGGGACATTTGGAGTGATTTGCCCAGGATACATAGGACAGCACTGGGATTTGAGCCCAAGTCTGGAAGAATGGGCAGCAACTAGGCACACGTTTTTTTACTGTTAGGGAGTTTGGAGCACTCTCCCCTGGTGGTGAGCCTCTGGCTGCATCTAGGGATGGGCCTGTTGATGCTGGGAGTCCTTCCTGATGCCACCCCTCCCCATCTTCCCCAGGAGCTTTTCGGAGCTGTACACGCTGTCTCTGAAGGAGCCCAGCCGGCGGGGAGCTGCAGAACCTCTGCAGGATGAGACCCCCAAGGTAGTCCTGCTGCCTACCACAAAGCAGCTGCTGCACCTATGCCTGCAGGATGGCAGTGGCCCTCCAGGGGCTGAGGATCTGGCAGAAGAGAGGACTGAGTTCCTACACAGCCAGAACCCACCATCGCCCCACAGGTGCACTCTCTTGGGCACTTGGTGGGGCCTGGGCAGGCAAGGCTCTGGGAAACCAGCTTCCAGGTCTGAGCCACTCCTGCTCTTCCCAGCTCCCTGTCAGATGAGGCACCAGTCTTGCCTGACACCACCCCAGACCTCCTACTGGCCACCACTGCCAAGCCATCAACACCTGGTGCTGGCAGAGAGATACCTCCCTTCAAGGTGAGTAGTAACAAGGCTCTGGAGCCCAGTGGCATAGAGGTGACAGTTGGTATCACTGCATCAACATCCATTTCTGTCCCCCAGGACCAGCCAGGCAGCCCCAGTGGCCATGAGGACTCAGCCCCAGAACTGAGGGCCTCCTTCTTGCCACGAACCTTGTCTCTGCGGAACTCCATCAGCAAGAGTGAGTCTGGAGTGGTGGGCACGGAGGGGGAGGGTGGCTCTGTGACTCCCCCTGCTGAGCCCCCTCCTGTGCCCACAGTCATGTCAGAGGCCGGCAGTGAGACCCTGGAGGACGAGTGGCAGTCCATCTCGGAGATTGCTTCCACTTGCAACACCATTCTGGAGTCACTATCCCGGGAGGGTAAGGCCACCAGGGTACTGGGAGGAAGAGCCAGGATGGGATGGATTCTTTCTCCCTTTCAGACCTGCCCACATGGCCCCTCTGTCCCATAGGACAGCCCATCCCAGAGAGCGGAGACCCCAAGGGAACTCCAAAGTCTGATGCTGAGTAAGGCTTCCCACCCTCACATAGCCTCTTCATGTGCCCTTCTGCCACCCTTTGTGCCTGTCCATTGGAGTTAAGCATTATCCACCTAAGTCTCGGAAGACAGGGTTTGGGTGCTGCACATTCAAGGGGCTTCTGGGAGTCAGCCTCTGGTGCTACCCCTGTGATGGTCCCACTGAGTTCTGACTTCATGTCCTCAGGCCAGAACCTGGGAGTCTATCAGAGAAAGTCTCTCACCTGGAGTCCATGCTCAGGAAGCTGCAGGAAGACCTTCAGAAGGTGATGAGGTGGCCTGGGGCTGGCACAGAGTCATGGGGCTGCCACAGGAAAGGGGTGGCTGCTCTGACCCTGTTCCTGCTGGTCCGACACACACAGGAGAAGGCAGACAGGGCAGCCCTGGAGGAGGAGGTGAGGAACCTGCGGCACAACAACCAGCGGCTGCTGGCTGAGTCGGAGAGCGCCGCCACCCGCCTGCTCCTGGCTTCCAAGCAGCTGGGCTCCCCCACTCTGGACCTGGCCTGAGCTCACCCACAGCCCCAGGCCAACTATGGACCTACTTAGAACTGCCTGGGCCCGGCAGGGTACTTGGGTCACACCAGCCCTGGGCCCTCCTCAGGATCCCTCCCTGCGCCAAGGCGCGTCTGAGCACTGCCCCAACTCCCCAGTCCATTTGGTGGCAAAGGTGCCCCTATTCGTCCCTGTTTGTAAATATTTTGTGGAGACAAGGGGACGACAGGGAGTAAAGAAGCCACAGTATCAGTGTCTGTACATGTGTTCAAGATGTATTGCGGGGGTACGCCTGAGGCCACATGAAGCTCCCAAGACAAATTAGAAGGATAGGCCTGGGAATATTAGCCTAGGATTGGGCTGGCTTTGAGGGGGTCTCTGCGGTTAGGCCACCTTTTGGCTTCTCTCCCACAAACATTTATTTGGTTCTGTTGGGAAATTGGTGTCCGACTTCCATATTCCACACCTACTCTGTTTAGGTCTCCTGGTTCTGGAACCAAACCCAGGGGCCTGAGATCAGGGACAGAGAAAGAGAATAGATTTTCAAGACAGGGGAGGGACAGAGTTTGGGGGTCAAGAAGAGGCTGACTGTGCCTCATGTGTCTCTCCGGAAAGGCCATATTCCTTCTTTCTAGTCACTGAGCCCTCAATCCTGGTACTCCCTTTGACCACCTGACCACATCTTGCAGGACCGAATTCCAGGGGTGGCAGCTTCTCTATTCCATATCCCAGAGGACACTGGCCCTCAACCCACTTCTCTGCTCACTGGTCCACAATCCCCCACCAGACTGGGGCTATCCTGTGAGAGGCACCATCAGGCCCAAACTTGGACTTTGTCTAAACCCTGTGTTTTCCAGGTTTCCAGTCTGAAACCCAGACAGGGCACTGACTTGTCCAACATCACGTGCTTCATCCAGGCCCTTCCCTAGGCTAGCTAAAGCTTACTCTGCTGAAACTAGGCCACAAGTCTCTGTTAACTTGGGCTCGGAGGGTGAACTAAGCTTTAAGTAACAGGGAAGATGAGGGAGGCTTCATGGAGGAGATGACACAAGGACTGAGTTTTAAAGGTTGAGTTGGAGTTGACCAGGCACAGACGGCTAGGGTATCCCAGTAGGATGTGGTCCTGTCACATGCAGAAATCCAGGATTCAAGTGGCTGAAGCTGGATCAGAAAGGGTTGTGGGGAGTGCACAAGCCATCCTGGAATGGCGGTTCTGAATACCTGGCCCAGCTTTTCTTGGTTGGGAGCTATAATGAGGAGTTCTTAAGTGGCAGTGTGGAAGGCAGGCTCTGGTCACTTTGGAAGTGTGTCTGCACAAAACTGAGACCTGATCGTGTGGCTGATAGATGTTTAAAGGGAGAGTGACAGATGAGATTTGGGTGTGGAACCCTTTGGCTGCAGGAAGATGTAGCTAGCCGCAATCCTGGAGGGAGGGAAGGTGACTTAAACGAGGTGATTACAGTGATGATGGGGAGAAGGCAGATTTGCCAAGATGTCATGAGGACTAGATGCGAGGGCAGAAGAGGTGACATCCACAGTGGTGGCCAGTTTCCTGACCG